GGGGGGGGACAGGACAGACACACAAGGTGGGCACCCACCCTGGGGGGGGAAGCTCCCCGGCCCTGGCAGGAGGTGCCCCCGGCCCTCGCGGGGGTGCATTGTAGTTGCATTGCATGTGTCAGACTGGGAGTGCAATGCCCCTGCCATGCAGCCCGGCGGGGGTCCCGTGCAGCGACACCTGCCCCCCCCCCCAGGAACCTCCTCGGTGCCCCTACACCCCCTCCCATCCATCTGTCCCCCCAGCTCACCCAGCTCCCCTTGCCAACTCCCCCCCTCCTCCCACCACAGGCTGTCCAGCTCCTGCTGTGCGACCTGCTCCTCGTCACCCGCACCAATCTGTGGCAGCAGCAGATGAGTGCCAGCCAGCAGCGCAGCTGCCTCTACCAGGCCTCCGCCATCGAGCTCCGCGGCTTCCAGCAGGACCTCAGCAGCCTGCGGCGCCTGGCCCAGACCCTCCGCCCCGCCATGCGCCGGGTGAGCCCCCCAACCCCTCATCCCGCCAGGTCCCTTCGTCCTGTGCACCCGGCCACGCTCACTGTCCCCCCCCATCTCCATCTCCAGGTGTTCCTGCACGAAGCCACCGCCAGGCTGATGGCCCGGGCCAGCCCCACGCGTACCCACCAGCTGTTGGACCGCAGCCTGCGGAGGAGAGGGGTGCAGGGCAGCAAAACAGGTGGGATATGGCATGGGAGACCCCCCCCAACTCCCCACCCAGCAGCCTTGGGTGTTTTGGGTGCTGGGGGGGCTTCCTGACCACACTTTGGTGGTGGTACCTTGCTCTGGGGTGGGCGAGTGGCCCCATCACGATGGTGTTTTGGGTGCTGGGGGGGCTTCCTGACCATGCTTTGGTGGTGGCACCTTGTTCTGGGGTGGTCGAGTGGCCCCATCACCATGCCAAATGGTGATCACAGAATCACACGGGTTTGAATGTCTCCAGAGAAGGAGACTCCACCACCTCTCTGGGCAGCCTATTCCAGGGCTCTGCCACCCTCAAACCTCATGTTGAGATGGAACTTCTTTTGTTCAAGCATGATGCCATGCCATGCGCTCGAGGGAGGGTCGGTGGCTTCTCCTTGGGCAGCCTCTTCCAGGGCTCTGCCACTCTCAAAGCAAACAAGTTCCTCCTCACGTTGAGATGGAACTTCTTATGTTCAAGCATGATGCCATGCCATGCGCTCAAGGGAGGGTCGGTGGCTTCTTGGGGGCACCTTCAGGACTGACCCCCGCTCTCCTCCTGTTACAGCCGGCGAGCCCGAGAGCCACCCCACACCGCGGGAGCACGCCGAGGCGCTGCTGCTGGCCTGCTGCTACCTCCCACCCAGCTTCCTCTCGGGGCCGGGCCAGCGCGTGGGCATGTTGGCCGAGGCCGCCCGCACCCTGGAGAAGCTGGGCGACAAACGGACGCTGCACGACTGCCAGCAGATGATCATCAAGCTGGGCAGCGGCACCACTGTCACATCGGGCTAGCCCAGCAGGAGGACCAGGAGGGGTTGGGGGGGTGACACGCTGCCAGGTCCCCCCCACTTCCCCTCCGCCCCAGGTGGTGACACGCTGCCAGGTCCCCCCCCCTTCCCCCCCGCCCCAGGTCCTGGGATGTCGGGAAAGGGGGTGATGGGGGTGGTGG